AACCCTAAGCCCTAAACCCCAAACCGTGAACCCTAAACCCTAAACCCTAAACCCTAAACCCTAAACCCTAAACCCTAAACCCTAAACCCTATACGGTCCTCGCTCCTGAACCCCAAACCCTAAAAAAACAAGAGGTGCGGACTACAACTATATTCCCAGAGACTCCAAAACCCCTTAAATTAAGGAATCTACTTTAAATCTTATTAGGGTTCCTAGTATAACTGAAGGTATATTTCTTAGTTGAGGGGTTTTGGAGTCTCTGGGGCTTTATTGGGCCTTCCGGGCCGAAAGTGTGTCTGGGCTCAAACTTTCTGCATCTGGCCTCTCTGAGAATCAAGGGATTTAGGGGTTTAGGGTTTTAGGGTTTAGGGTTTAGGATTTAGGGTTTAGGATTTAGGGTTTAGGGTTTAGTTTAGTGTTTGGGGTTTTATGGTTTAGGGTGTAGGGTTTCGGGTTCAGGGAGGGTGGGGGAGGGGTTCAGAAATAAGGCGCCCGAAGATGATCCTCAATAGCAGGGCACTTTCTCTCCTAAGTTCTAAGGTTAGAAGTATGGGCCCCTAGTGTGGACCCTTAGGCTTTTCTAGGGACTCTTAAAGGTACATATAGGGTATACAGTAGATACATAAGGATCCCAGGGTTACGGGCCCATACTAGGGGCCCATGGTTTCAAGCTTAGATCAGTTGCCGTATCAATATCATGACCTCGAAGATCCAAAACCACCCTAAACCCGAAACTCCGACTTCCCAGAGCTCTTTCTTTTCTTGCCTCTGTATCATACGCGACAAATCCGGGCTTCCCTGCATGTTTGTCGGAGGGTTAGCTCAGATCCCTTGAACATGCCCGCAAGCTTCAATAAGGGCAGAATAGTTGCCCTTTTCACTGCTTATTTCCCCGAAGCCCATATCCCCTTTCCTAGTATTCTGAGGCCTCTGGATTCTACAGTGATTCTGCAGTAGTAGTAGTAGTAGTAGAGCAACAGCTCTGATCCCAGGAAAAGCCGAGTTACCTCTGTTGTCGGTTGCTGTCCCTCGCACCTTCCTTCTATTTCTCTCTCTCTCTCTCTCTATCTCGCTCTCTCTCTCTGTCTATCTTATCGATCGACCCATCCATCTATCTATCATCTATCTATCTAACTCTCTAGGACGTATGTTGATATATGATAAACGGGCACGTAAACATCAGTGCCCATAACCCGGTAACTCACCCCGCAGACATTGAGCCCATAATTGCACCCATTTCAACCGCTGCGGAAAACCCTAAACCCTAAACCCCTAAACCCCTAAACCCTAAACCCATCACGCCGTAGGAAGGGCATGTACCCACCAAGACCATGGAGGCCTGGTGGGGCGACGGTTTCTCTTGAGTTCTTCTTTAGGGCGCGTGGGGCTGTTTTCGATCTCTCGGGGTTCTTGGGATTTTCGGTTTACGGCGCTCAAGATAGATAGGTACATATATATATATATATGTATGTGTATATATATATATTTACATATGTATACATATATATATATATATATATACACATACATGCCTCATTTCGATTCTTAGAGGGTTTCGACGTGGGTTCATGGGCTTCTCGAACAAGGGCTTAAGGGTATCTCTATCTGCTAAGGTAAGTTTGTCAACGAAGTGGCATTTGAGCTTCGGGGAAATATCGATTTCAGATTCGTGTTGTTGATTCGGGCCCTGAGGTGTAAGAAAAGTAGGTTTCCGAAGCCACCGTCGCGAAACACAGCAAGAATGCCAACACAACAGGCTGTTGATTTTCTGGTAGGAGCAGGAGCAGGAGCAGGAGCAGGAGCAGGAGCAGGAGCAGGAGCAGGAGCAGGAGCAGGAGGAGGAGGAGGAGAAGAAGGAGGAGCAGGAGCAGGAGCAGGAGCAGGAGCAGGAGCAGGAGCAGGAAGAGCAGCCGCAGCCGCAGCAGACGCCACAAGCAATGGAAGGTGCTCGAAGAGAAGAGGAGGTGGGCGAAGAGCACCAACGGGATGAGCTCACGGGACAGGTTTGTGTGACATTCCGTGGTGACGAGAAGGACTTCTTGCATGTTAGCCGCGAAGTCCTCCAGCTGGCTTCGCCAACATTCAAAGCCCAGCTCAATGAAGTGTGGTTAGCAGGGAGCACCGTTATCAACATCGACCGGGACCGTGCGGAATTCGAAGAAATGTATAAGTGGATCAACCCAGCGACCGCTGCAGATCAAGACATGGATGATGACAAACTTTTGTTCCTGACGGACTGGTCTGACTATTACCTTATGACAGCATTGGGGAATAGATGTGCCAAGTTCATCAACGCGCATCCCACCCCGAATATGAAAGTCATGGTGTCGGCGCACAAGATGTGGAAGAACAAGTCTGCCAACATAGAGGTCACAGAGGAACGCCTCGACCGGTGCATTGAATACATCATCAGGAACAACCGTAGGGGTCTCCGTCAGCTTCACTGGCCTTATTGCTACGAACACAATGAACTCATGCAGAAAGTCATGCAGGCATGTTTCAAGAAATTGGATGGCATGTGAGATGTTGCTGCAGTGCTCATATATGTGCCGGCATGTGCGGCAAAGGTTTGCTGAAGTGTTTCCGTGCGTTTCTTTCTCTATCAGGACACACCTGTATTGACGTGGCCACTTCTTGGCATCAGTGTAGCCACTGCGCATGCTGACTTTTGACGATCACAGCTTGTCAGCTGAGCAGTTTGAGCTTCACTTCGAGATGGAGTGCAAGCGTGTTTCACTTTAGATAGGGGGTGGGTCAAGGAGCTTTCGTGTCGTCGAAAGATGCGAGCCCAAGGTATATAGTTTGTTGCATTGAGTGGGCATTCAGCATGGACCAGGGCTTCACCACTGAACCTTACTTAGGGTAGAGGGCGGTGCAAGGTTTCCGGTTTAGGTAGCGCCTTGTGTCAATGGGCAGACCACCTCCAGCGCTGCACGGTCACCAAGGGTAGGTCTTGTGCAACAAGGCCTGCTCTTGAGGAAGAGAATGTAGTCAAAATTGGATGAAGATATGGCCGAGAATCAGACAGACGATTGACACCGTTTGACAACAGCACTGCACACCTGAAACAGCTTATCTAAAGAATCCGCTTTTGGTATCCGTTAAGGGTTCAATTTAACGGTTCCGTTACTTGTTCAGGTTACAGAATACGTAAGGGTTCCTTCAAGGGTTCTTCAGGGTGTTTGAGCCTTCTCCCTATACACCTACGAAATATTTACCGCGACCTTAGAACCGTAGCCCGAATCTCGGTCTTGACCGCCTTTTGGTAGGCTTAGGGTTGTGTAACTGGGGGGGCCTAAATAAGTTCCTAAACTATGTTGGGGGCTACTTGGTACAATTCATACTTATAGTACAATATACCCCAAAACCCTGTTCTAATTATTAGGCCCCTACATTAGAGTTTAGGGCCTGTGATGTCCGGACAAGGGCACTTTACGTTTCGGCCCTTCGTTACATCCTGCAGCTGGGCCCAGGAGCCCCCAAACTCATAGCTTTCAAGCGCTGTCTGGGTAGTGTCAACAGGAGCGAGTGACAAAACTGTATCATAAAGCCGGAAACATCTTGAACCCTAAACCCTAAACCCTAAACCTTGAACCCCAAACCCTAAACCCTAAACCTTGAACCCTAAACCTGATAGACCTTATTGGGCTTCTACGGCTTCGTTTCTGCATCTTCCCATCCACGGTGCCAGGAGCTCCTGTCCGCCAAGCGGCAGCTGGAGGCTTCAAAGGGCTTGAAGTAGGGTTTAGGGTTAGGGTTTAGGGTTTAGGGTTTATGGTGCAGGGATTTAGGGCGTAAGGGTTTGGGGTTTAGGGTTTAGGGTCTATCGGGTGTAATCTGATATGGGTTTAGTTATAGGGCGTATGGGGGTTATAGAGGTTTATAGGTTTTATAGATGTTCTAGGGAAGCGTTTGTAGGGATTTATGGGGTTCCCAGGGTCTATATATAATATATACTACCAATATGGAACTGGGTCCCAAAAGACCATCCTCATTATGGTTTTGGGGAGGCTTCGAAGTGCTTTTGAAGCTTCACGGTAGGGTCTCTATGGGTTGAAAAGGCTTCTAGGGGTTTATTATAAGGTTCATATGGGTTTATAGCGTGTATAGGGATGTATAGGGGTTTTAGGATTTATATGGGGTTTATCGAGGTTTATATGGCTTATGGGGTTTATGGGGGTTTATCGGGCTTTTACGTGTTTAGAAGGATGTTGGCTTGGGGGTTTAGGAGTTTAGGGTTGACAGGGGTTTCGGCTTTAGGATTCAGGGCTTTAGTGTTTTAGGACACAAAGCTTTCGGAAAAGTTAAGGAAGCTTGGTTTCTTGTAATGTGGCGGTGCTCTGTTATTAGCTGTGTGAAGGAGCGCATACCGTGCCCAAACACAGTGTCATACTACCACTGAACTCGAGACTTCCCGGCTCGCCAGCGTGGGATGTCGGAGAGCCTTTGGGTTTAGGGTTGAGGGTTTAGGGTTTAGGGTTCAGGGTTTGGGGTTTAGGGCTTTGGGTAAGTTTAGGGTTTAGAGTTTAGGGCTTTGGGTTTCGGGTTTAGGGGCTTAGGGTTTGGGGCTTAGGGTTCAGGGTTTAGGGTTCAGGGTTTAGGGTTCAGGGTTAGGGTTTTTACCAGCCAGGACCCAGAATAATGAAGAAATTAGGTTCTCGAAGATGTTAAGTGGTAATGTTCTAGACCCCGCCAGCCATTCTCTAATATACACTACCTATAGTCTCCATTGTAGTTCCTTTTGGGGTAACCTTATAGGATCCTTACTATAATATTGGTTTAACCACAAAAAGGAACTACAATGGAGACTATAGGTAAATACCCCAACACGTCTACACATTTATACTCCGCCAACCTCCACTTCCCCCCAGACCCCTTCAAAAGGCGTAATATAGGTGCCTCAATTAGAATTACCTGTACATTCTTTTGGGCTTCCTTATTATAATTCTATTACAAAGGACCCCCCAAAAAACCCTATTCCAATTATAACCTGAACCCTTATCATAGCCCTTATAGAACCCTTTAAGGAACCCTTTAAAAGAGCCCCCGAAAGTTCAATTGTTCCCAACTCTCCAGAGAGCCCAATACCCTTTAACTAGGGAGTATACCTTAAATCGTAATATTAAGGCCCCTACAATTGAAGGTACATTCCTTAATTAAGGGTCTTGGGCTTTCTGGCTCACTGTGCTTCCAGGCCCGCGTCCTCGCCTACCTCAGCAGGCGGATCCTCCTGTGCTGTCCGTTAGCATTTTAGGGGTCACAGTAGGGATTGAAAGTGTAACCCAAAGGGTCCAAGTTATAGTATAGCATATACTTTGGGGGCCCAAATACCTACAAAGTCGCTACCACATTAGTACTTGCACCCTTTGGGCTAGAGGGTTTTTGTGAGCTGGGTTAGCTTCTCTGGGAGGGATGCCAGCAGAAAAACGGAGGATCAGGTCTTCTGCGATTGGTTTTTGCATCCGGACGGTTTAGGGTTTAGCGTTTATGATACTGCGCTGGGAGGGGTTTGGATTATATGTCACAGGGTTTGACCCTAAACCCTAAGCTTAGGGGTGAGGGTGGTCTTTTCAGGGTTCTTCAGGCTTTCATGTCTTCAGTTGGGGCTCGAAGGGTGCCAGGGGAAGGGTTTACGGTTTAGGGTTTAGGGTGTGCAATGATTTCCTAGCTTGACCCAGCCGATGAAATTCAAGTCTGTGGCCGACCCGCATGCCACCGCAGGGGGCCCAAGAGTCAGTTGCAAAAAACTCTTCGGGTCTGGAGATCACATGGAGGCAGCAAAGGCCCTGGGTGAGAGAGAGAAATGCATCCTCATCGTTTTCCGCTTCCGGTTTGAGCCGGTGGGTCAGAGCTTCAAGCTCCAAAGGTGCTTCTGACGCACTTCCTGGGCGTCGCTGGTGTGGCCCGGGCGGGAACCGGCCTGCAGAGGCCGTATGTTGTTACGGCCAAGCCGATCAACCTGGAGCCCAACAAAGCCGTTCACTTGGGGGAAGGCTGAGGAAGATGATCGTGATTCCTGAAAGCCACGCATCGTCGAGATGTCAGTCACTGGACCTCCCAGGTCCTATCGATAATGTTCTTAAGATGATTATCATCCTAAACCCTAAACCCTAAACCCTAAACCGTATGATATTATCATAATTTTCGTGCCGTGTGGCACCTCAGGGATCGCTACTAAAGGTCCTGCCCCAAGAGAGAAGCCATGATCATGTTTCATTATCTGGAACACTGGACCTGGACTAGGTTCCCCAGTAGTACCCCTTTTACCCTTTTTCTTTTGGGGTTCTCTTAACAAAACCAACTAGTAGGAAAAAGGGTACCCTTATTATTTAGGGGCTACTGGGAAACCTAGTGGATATGTTCATAACGTCTTGAAGTTGCTTTCCTTTTCGTGTCTGGGGTTCGTTTGCGAAGTTTTGGCTTCCTTAACGTTTCTCTAGTCTAACACACCCCAAAACCCCATTCTAGTTCATAAAGGCCGAATTATCGGGGCGATTTGGCCACGAGGGATTTGCTTCTCTCCGAAGGGATCTCTATGATTTATGGTTTAGGGATGTTAAGGATGTAGGGTTTGGGGTTGAGGGTTTGGGTTTTGGGTTCACTGCTGCACATGTACATGTACATGTACATGAACATAAACATAAGCATACATGCATATGTCTCTGTCTGTCTGTCTGTCTGTCTATCTATCTATCTATCTATCTATTTATCTATATATATATATACATATATATCTGCATCACTGTTTTCATTGTTTCGGGCAAAGAGTCGGTGCGACGCTGCCCTCGTATGTTTGTATTATATATATATACATATGCATTAAGGCACACAAGCATGTTTGTTTCTCCAGCCAGGTAGATACATCCATGCATGAGCCCATGCAAGTGCATAGGGTAGTATCCGCTTCTACACGCGTGTATGCCTTCTTATACCCTAAACCCGAAACCCTAATCCCTGAACCTTCAACTCTAAACCCTAAACCCCATGTCAAACAAAACCCTGTGTCCATGTCAAAGCAGACGCGAACCCTACAGCAGCCTTTCTAGATCCAAAGCCAGGCTTGGAACCCTGGTTTGGGGCGTAAATTTAATGTGGTGACCTGAATAGTTAGAACAGGGTTTTGTGGTATATTGTAATATGGTTATAATAAGGAACCCCCAAAAATAGTATAGGTGATTATTAAGGCCCCTATATTAAGCTTTAGGGCTTTGAAACGCGAGCTTGGATGTTCGAGTAATAGTGTTGGTCGGCGTCGGTTCTCTCTTTCTGCGAAAGTGCGTCCTCTTGGTTCTGTAGGTGTCGGAGTTCCTCAACTGGCTGCAGGCTTCGGTACAGCCTGCATCCCTTGACCGACACGGGCGGCATGGACACGGGCGGTGTGGTCGCAAACGTGCTCGGGCTGCAAAACAACACCCCGACTTCGGCTTCAAGGTTCCCCGGAACTGGCGAGCGTTGTTTTCGGCCGAGCCCACGCCGAGCTCTCTTTCCCCGCGCCGCTATGGCCGGTGGAAACGACCCCGTTCGGGAGGAAAGCCGAGCGTACATCCGTCGAGGCGCTGTGTCCACACGTGCAACATCTTGCCGGTGTCTGCTGTCAAGGTGGCTCCGGTCGTCGACCTAAGTTGGTATTTTGAGTGTCTGAGATCCGTTACCGTTACTGTTTAGCTTCCTCAGGAATGGCTCGGGAGGAACTCCTACCCTGTCGCCGTCTTTGCTTGTCGAATATACATGTATAGACATATACACGAGTACAACTTTCTGATTGTACTCACTTTTGGGTCAATCTGCACTAGGTGCCCCACCGGACTGCGCAGGACGCCCGGTTCATGCGTCGGCACAACAAGCAAGGTCTTCACGTGTCCGAGGAGAACAGGAAAAAGGGCGTTGCTGGTAGCGAACTGTGCGGACTCGTGGGTGTGTGCGGCAAGCCAAACACCCAGCGCAACAATAAGCGTGGCTTCGTCCTGAGCCGCCGAGATCGGAACAGACTCATGCACGCCAAGTACGGCAACACAACGCTGACCGGTGTTGCAGAGCAGGTGATTCCCGAGGAAGCGGTTCGCTCGAGTGCAGAGCGGGTGGCCAAGCGGCTTCGCCGGAGCTCCACGGCCTCGGCCAGCTCGGGCTCGGAGGCCGGCCCGCAGGGATGCGAGCAAGTTACGTCGAGTCCACCGCTCAGTCATTCATGCCATACCAACAGTTCGTTGACGATGGCTTCCTTTTGTGCCTGCACTGGAACGACTTAAGCTGCGCGAATCAGGTTATTACTGAGGCCTGTCACCTTTGGCGGCACAAGTTTGCCGGCGGCAGGAAGGGCCCTCTCGTGCTGCAAGTCGGGCCCATGTGTGACTCTCAAATGACTCCCCAGAACATCACTCTGTGCGGCGAGCAGCCTGTCAGAGTTGAACAGGTTAAGGTACTGGGCACCATCATTGATGACCAGCTCACCCTAGAAGCACAGCTTTGTGCAGTCCTGTCAATGCTCCAAAGTGAAGGAATCCGGCTGGTCACGGGCATGACGGCAGCCGGCTTTGGACTCCCAGCCATCGCGTCACAGTTTTCAACCAGGGTAGTTGCCAAGGCCATGCACGGGTGCGAACTCTTAGCTTCTCACGTGGATGGGTTCACCAAGGTGTCCTCGAGGCTAAATCACGCTCACTACATTGTAGCTAAGGCATGCTTAGGCGTGCCGCCTACCACGTCCTTGGGTAGTTACGTTGCAGCCTTCGCGGAGTGTCGCTTCCTCACGCGAGCCAGCACCATCCTGGCACAGAGAGTAGTGATGACCAGAGCGCGCCTTGCGCTGCTTCCTAGCTCTCACCCAACAAGAGTAGCAGTCCGAGCAGCCCAACACTTACCTGCAACTTGGTGGCAGCATGCGCGAGTGCTCATGCTGTCAATAAGCTCAGAGTTTGAAGAGATTTGCCGGAGCGTCCGACTTCGACAACCTGACCAAGCAAGAGAAAACCAAACTGCTCCAAGCTTACCGCAACTCTTGCGTCACGCCCCTGCTAAGGCTGCTGGAGGAGCAATGGTTTCGGCAGCAGCTGCAACACATGATCTCTGAGGCGATAGTCCCGTACAACCATTTGAACCACGTGCTGCTACCCTGGCAGCCAAACGAGACGTGGCAAACTTGGCCGCCCACCTTCTGGAACATGGTTCGCATTTAAAAGGTTGCGCGCATTGTGTGCGCTTTGCGCATTTTGACCCACGAGGGGTCAAAGTTTCTGTCGCTTTTGGACACATGCCCCTTCTGCGGCGATGTTGTCGTAGGCATTCGCCATTTCGTGGAGCATTGCGTGCACATGCAGGACATCCGAAGCTCTGTGTTTCGCTTGATGGGTGGTTCGTGCGAACTCAGCACGATCCTGCCAATCTTCGGCATCGGTGGAGATTTTCACAGCGAAGGTCAAGCTAGTCGCAGGGGCGACCTCGCGAGTAGCGCAGTACCTGCAGTTCGACACAGTTTGAGAAAACAAGACGAGCGACACCAGGTGCCTTTGATTCAACAGGCTAAGGACCATGCAGATGCCTAAGAAGTCTCTTGAGCCGAACCTATCAGCACCATTACCCGACTTGCTGCCCTACACCTGCGCGGTGAGGTGCCAGCGAGAGGGTAACCCCAGCTTAACTGCCCGCGGGCATCTCTCGTCCACAACAAAAAAAAACCCTGGGTTCAGGGTCTAGGGTTTAGTTATATGGTTTAGGGTTTAGGGTTATAAGGTTTGGGATCTAGGACTTCAGGCCTTTGCGGCATAGGGTTTCTAAGACTGCTTCGAGGAAAGGCCTTCGCTTGAAGATCAAAGACAGTGCTGCCGACCAGTTTGGGTACGATGTTTAGGGTTTAGGGTGAATGGTTTAGGGTTTCGAAATCTATATTGCAGGTTTTAATACAGCGCAGGCTTGTTGTATGTAGGTTTATCAAACAGGGTGTATATGACAGATGTTTACTTCTCGGCTTAGCTGTTCAGGTGCAGAACCCAAAGGCTCCATATATACTACCACTATGGGATTAGGCCCCTAAAGCCATAATAAGTATGGTCT